TTTGGTTTCGGGGCTCGGCACCCTCATCCCCACCCTCCCTGGGGCTTCTCGGCTGGCTCGCGGACCCCGCGGGAGTCTGTTGGCGACCGGGGACAGGCGCCGGGTGGGATTTCCCCCTTTGCTGCCGCTGTGCATGGTCTGGGCTCCCCCTTTCTCGTGGTAGGTGGGGGGACGGCTGGCAGCGCTGAGGCGGTGGGGTTGGCTGGGGAACTTGTTTTCCCGTTGTCGGTGCTGGCCTCCCCCTTCTCGTGGTGGAGGAGGAGGAGAGGGGCGTCTGAGTGGTCCGCGGCGTGGGCCGGGAACTTGTCCCCCCTCCCTGGTCACGGGGTGCGGGGAGCAGCGCCTGCTTTCCCTACCCCACGGTCCTTGCTGCGCAGTTTGCATTTAGTTACCGAGCCCCTGGGAAGGAAGGACCCGTTAAATCAAGACCTTTAAATAAATAAATATAGAAGCCATCGGCCATTTCCAGCCCCCTCCCTCGTGTGCAGTGCAGTTACCCTTCCGCTGAGTCGTCCCCCCTCGCCTCTGCTCCCTAGCACGCCGCGGTGCCCGGGTCTCTCCCCTGGTGGGGTTTGAGCACCCCTGCCATAGAACCGGCCCCTTGAGAACGTGTGTGTATCTGTGTGTGAGCGCGCGCGCGCGTGTGTGTTGTGACCAAGGCCTAGTGAAATGTGTCATTTGGACCCAACTGTGCAGCGCTGTCTGGTAACCACCATTGTCTAATGGCTGAGGCTCCCTGGGGTTGGATTCCTGCTTTAGCAAAAATAATGTTCAGTTTTGCTTTCATGATGTGGTTTTTTGGGGAGGTCTGTGAGATGTGAATGTTGCACCTTGATCTCCAAACATAACTAGTGTCTTTATTATTAGCTGTTTGCAGTAGGGGTGGAAGTCAGTACGGTATTTTTGTGTACGGTTGTTTTAAGGAGAATTGTTAGGAGACATTTTGCGTGTTTTAGTTGTCGGATTAAGGTTAATTTTACATGCGTTGGTTGCCATACCTCCTTTGATTAAGACTGAGTTTAAATATATATTTTTTAAATTTTTTTATCCTTTCCTTAACTATTGTCTTTGAAAGAATTGTTAGTTTGAAAAATAGTTTAAAATGTTTTTAGTCACTGTTACAAATAGTCTTTGAGAAAGCAATTTGCCGTATGTTGCTTGAAAGACAGTGATGTTTTAAACAATTGTTTAAAATGTTTTAATTTTTTGTTTATATTTTTGCAAATTAAAAATCTCATCATTACTTTTCACATATGCATACCAGGGTCCTGATGTCCATTCAAATATTCAGGTGTTCCAGAATTGGTGCTGTATAATGGAGTTCACTTTTTTTTTTTGAGAGACAGAGAGAACACAAGCAAAATTGAAATGTTAGGTTCAATATTATGGATTCTATTAGCATGGTAAGGCTTTTCAGAGTGTAGTGATTTGTTAATACTGTTACCAATGGAAGTGTCAGCCAAACTTAATTCACTCCCATTGTGTATTTTTAAATGTTCTACATCTCCATTTCACCACTTGTATGCAGTTTCCAATCTAGTTGAGGTGCACCCTGAACAGCTTTCTTCATTTATTTAAAATTATTTTCTACCTGTGATTGAAGTAGTGTCTTCGTTGTTGGGGCTCACATGCCAGAGTGTCAGCCTTCTTTCTGTTCATAAACTGACAGCTCTTGGTGAATCAGGATTGTATTGTGTACCTAACGGAGGGGAAGTGCAGTGCACTGTAGATGGTTGCTTTGTTGCAGCTAGTAGAAACTGTTCTGGAGGTTCAGTGGCACAGAGGGGAAAAGAACTTGCTGATTAGCCTTCAGGGAGAATAGTGTTGAGTCTTTCAGGGGGCAAATAAGTGGCCTGAAAATGAATAAAACATTAAGATAAATTTAAAAACTAAAATGATAAATATTTTGCTAGCCTTTTGTACAGATATATATCATTCTTTGAAAAATTAGCATTTTGATTACATTTTAAAATGTACATTTCACACATTGATCAGAAGTCAGCTAAAAAGAATGTTCTTTCTCTTAAAAGTTTTAGGGTACATATAGAGTTAGTATTTCTAGTTTGAAAGGGGGATTTTATTGTTGAGATTTAAGACTATGCTAGATTTAGTAATTTTACAAGGGGGCTAGTGAGATGGTTCAGTTGGTAAAGGTGCTTGTCCCCAAGCCTAGTGATCTGAGTTCAATCCCTGGGATCACATGGTGGAAAGAGAGGACTGACATCCACAAGTGGGTCTCTGAGCTCCTTATATGCCCTCCCCCTTGCACACACAGGCATACTTTTTCTTTTTTAATATTTTATTTATTATTTTTATTTTATGTGTGTGTTTTGCCTGCATGTATGTGTGTTTTGCCTGCATGTATGTAAGTGTATCTATGTCATACAATGCCCACAGAGGTCAGAAAGGGGCGTCAGATCCTGGAACTGGTGTTACAGACAGTTGTTAGCTGCCATGTGGGTGTTGGAAATCGAACCTGGGCCCTCTGCAAGAGCAGCTAGTAGTCTTAACCACTGAGCCATCCTCCAGCCCTTGCTCTTTAAATAAATAAAAATTTAAAAATAATTCATAAGGGAATTAAGGAATTAAAGCTGATGGATACTTGTGGTTGTTTTTTCTTTAACTTTTTAGTAACTCCTGTATATGTGACTCTTATGTTAGTCTTGGCTAGAATTTCATTATTGTATATTAGACAACTGTTCAGGTAGTCAGCCAAAGGGAGAGTCACTGATTTCAGACAAGTTAGTTCAATCCATGTATAAATTCACTTACTTCATATGAAGTTTCACTTTTAAGCTTTTTAGTGGTAATTAAAAGTTTTTTTCAAACATTCTTTCAGATTGATTTTTAGTTGCTTCCTCACTCAAGATTTAATTAGAATAAAATTTTTTTCTGACAGTGCTATTATGTATAAATCTATAAATATATATGTTTGTTTTGTACACACATACATTTTCTCTATATGCAATGATCAATATTTGAAGAGTAGTTGAAACTTTTGGAGTGACATCTTAGCAGGACTCTTCATGACTTCCCTGGAAGAGGCTTTCTTACAGCCACATTGGGAAAGGGGAGCCTGGGTACTTCATGGGAAGTTGCTGTGCAGTGGAAACTGTCTACTGTTTAAGACTGTATATTGACTAAGGTTTTTGGTGGTTTTTTTCAGTCTGAAATTTCTGAGTTTGGGATTTTATGTATGACTTTAGGCTAGAAGAAAATAATTGTGTTCCATATCATAATCTGATAATATATTTCATGATTTAATAAAATTGGACAGTATTGGGTTGGATTTTTTGATGTTTCTCTCTCTCTCTCTCTCTCTCTCTCTCTCTATATATATATATATTTACATTGATAAAAATTGCTATGTTTATATGGGGTCCCATGATGTTTCAGTACATATGTAGATGAGTAAGGTTCAAGCCAGGGTAAGCATCAAATAAGTATATTTTTTCTCAAATATTTATCATGTCTTTGTGATTAAAAAAACATTCAAAATTCTTCTAGCTTTTTTGAAATACATAGTACATTATTGTTTGTGTGGACACTCTGCTATAACAGTGGAACACCAGTACATACTTCTTTTTAACTTGACCACCTTCCCTCCAACTCTCCTTACTCTTTGGTAATCACTAATTCGACTGTCAACATCAATGAGATCAACTTTTTTTTTTTTTGTCTTTTTGAGACTGGGTCTCCCTGTAGCCCCAGCTCCCTCAGGCCTGGTACTTGTTATGTTGACCAGGCTGGCCTTGAACTCATAGAGATCTGCCTGCCTCTGCCTCCAAGTGCTGGGATCAAAGGTGTATGCCACCATGCCCAGCTTAGATCAGCTTTTTAAAAAAGATTTACTTAGGCCGGGCATGGTGGCACATGCCTGTAGTCCCAGCACTTGGGAGGCAGAGGCAGGCGGCTCTCTGTGAGTTCAAGGCCAGCCTGGTCTTCATAATAAGTACCAGGACAGCTGGGGCTACAGGGACACCCTGTCTCAAAAAAAAAAGATTTACTTAAAAAAAAAATTACGTGTTTTGCCTGCATGTATGCACATCATTTGTGTGCAGTTGCCTGCAGAGGCCAGAACAGGGTGTTGAAACACCTGGAACCAGAGATACAGACTTACGAGCTGCAGTGTGGATGCTGAGAACCCAAACTGAATCCTCTGCAAGAGCAGGAGGTCTTCTCATCTGCTGCTGTGCCTGAGTTATTTTACTTAACAAACGTCACCAGAATGACAGAATTTCATCATTTTTCTAGCTAAATAATATGTGTGTATGCATGTGTATGTGTGTATTTGTACACTACCATTTTTATTCATCAATTAATAGATTCTTGAGTTGTTTCCATTTCCTGGCTATTATGAATAGTAAACATGGCAATATAGATACATATATATATTTTTTTACCATACTGAATTCATTTCCTTTGGCTATGTTTGTTTGAGACAGGGTCTCCCTGTAGTCCCAGCTGTCCTGGAACTCACTATGTAGACCAGGCTGGCCTTGAACTCACAGAGATCCTCCTGCCTCTGCCTCCCGAGTGCTGGAATTAAAGGGGTGCGCCACCACGCCCGGCTGTTATTCTCTTTTAGAAGTACAGGGAAAACAAGTCTGCAGAAGTGCTGTAGATGCTCCTATGAGTAGTTTTTAGATGCTGAGATTAATTTCTTTTCCCTAGGCATGGCTGGCACACCCTTATAATCTCAGCACTAGGGAAGGAGAGGAAGGAGGCTCATGATCTCTAGGTTAACCTGGGTTACAAAGCAAGACCATCTCATCGGTAGTGTATGTGCACAATTTAAAATTTTGAAAGTTCATCTGCCTTCACTTACTAAATTCTGCCTGGAATCCATCACTGTTACTTAGCTCCTCTTTCATGAAGCTGTAATAAAAGCATTTGATTGTGAAAATAATATTTACATGGAGGTTTTTGAAAGTAGGAATAATTTCTAGTTAGTGGGAAACGCGACTGTTTTGAGTTGCCAAAAATTTAACTATGAAGTAGTATAGTTCAAGAAATGTAATGATGTAATGTATATAGGTTTTTACTATTTAGGTCTGAAATAATTTTATAGTATAAAATGCAGTCTTTCTTAGCTGGGCATGGTGGTGCGTGCCTGTATTCCCAGCACTCCGGAGGCAGAGGCAGGAGGATCTCTGTGG